CCCCCCCCACCCCCGAAGGGGGGATGTTAACATGTTCTTATGCACAGTAGAATTGTAAATGGGCTGATTTATCAACGTCATGCTCATACTGTGACGTATGTTTGTCACTTTCTTGTGAACTGCTATTTCCGAGGTGCCTTGATAGTCGAAGCAGACTTTGTGCTGTTGGGGCTGGAGAGGTGAGCAGAGTAAGCCTGATCCCCAGTTTGGACTTCTCTGTTGACATCCACCCCCTTAACGCTCATATGACCTTATGTAATTGCGAGCGCCGTAAAACCTTACTAAAACAATCTCTCTCTCTTCCTTCCCCAGGGCTTGTGTTTCACCCTCCTGCTCCTAGCCATCTTCCGAAAAGCTCTCCCCGCCCTGCCCATTTCCCTCACCTTCGGACTTGTCTTCAACTTTGCCACCAGCGCCTTGGTGCGGCCCTTCATGGACAGCCTGGCCAGCGAACAAGTCTATATATAGCGTACAAACGTCACTTTCCCTTTTGTTTGTTAACATTGGAGGTTTACCGCTACGCCAACTTGACTAAATTATTGCTCTTGTACGGGGGTGGCGGGATTGCTGTAGTACTGTAAAAAAGCATGGTTTTGCTGTTTTGAGAGAAATTGTCTCTCAATTTTATTATGTATCAAAAGGATGAATAAAATTACAGTTTAAGTCAGTTAAATGCGCTGTTTTTCGGTATTTTGTCAAGTTATTATTTAAGTCATTGCTTTAAGCAGTCATCATGAGAGGTTTTTACAACTTTAGACATGTATGTATATAGAAAGGAACACTCACATTTCATACTTTGAAGTTGAAAATTTTTGTTGTTTTGACATTGATGATATGTTGGCTGTTCCAGTTTTCCAACATGCCGAGGTGTTTCTTCCTGCTTCTGTTCATGGCCGTCTGATCCTGTTGTTGTCGTCGTTGTTGTTGCAGAGATACTTGTGGATATGAATGCCATTGTTGTTGCAGCTGTATGGTTTGTACAGTGGAGCCCACTTAAATGGGACCGCCAGATTTTTTTTTGATGTAGACAGATTGCCTAAATAGCGATGAAAAAAAACTTGGGATTTTATTTCCTTAACAAAATGATTAACAATGTTGTTTGGTTTAAGAGGACTCCACTGTATATGTTTGTGTGCTTGCGTACTTTGGTAGTATTGTATGTGAATGCCCTAAGTTATGACATATATATGGCTTCTTTGCTAGGTAAAAGCTGCAACTGAGTACTCCAAGCTCTGATGAATGATGTCAGTTTGTTGATATTTCTCTCTTTGGCTTGAAGCTGGTGTAATTATTTGTCGTACTGAATGCTTGTCGAAGCTGAAGATGGTATGGATGACTGTGTTTCTATTTTTAGTGCTATTGGTAACTGTCACAGGGTGTTTTACTAGCTTTGTTAAAAAGAACTGGGCTGTTTTATGTTTTCGTCTCTGGCTCGCTCTCATGTCAACAAAGGGATGTAATGCTCTACTACTCGTTTCCCCTTTGCTAAATACCGTAATTTTTAATTAATGATTATTACACCCCTTTGTTGGCTTTCACTTTCCTGTGGGTTTTTTTTTTTTTCTTTGGGTTCCAGTGCTAAATGACATTTCACAAATCTTTCAACTTCTGTGAATAATACCAGTTCTCCCCCTCACCGATGTGCGAATTGAACTGCGTCGTACAGCATTAGGCACATCTGTTCCGAAATGCAGATCTCGTTGGCAGATTGTTTTTGGTTTCCAGAACATCTCAGGACTTCAGTGACAGCTGACAAATTTTTACTTTCATTTTCACAATTAATTCTTAATCTTCTTCTAAATTGTGCACCTCATGAGGTTGAGCATGTCTGCATTTTAGAGAGGTTTGGGCCGTTGAGGCCTTTTCAGTATGAAGGTGAGACAGGGATCAGAAATATTTTACAGGAGTTTTGTCTTCTTCTTTTTTTTGTGGGTCTGGACTCACAGAATTCTCTCAACCGTAAAGCATGTTTACAGGAATTCTTTGTGGAGTATCAGCCAATTCAATTGTTTTAATTTTTTTTAAATTTTATAATAT